AAGGTGACGAAAAATAATATGGAAAACTCAAAATAATCGAGTAATTTTGATGTTATTGAGTGAAAATATGAGGAATTGTTGACCTTCAAATGACCGCAATGGAATATGAAGAAAAAAAAAAAAGGAAAGACATATGCATCATTCGTTTTGTTTGGATATACTTCAAAGACATTTAACCTTTCACCCGGTCATCCAAAAATTATTTGTAAAATTTACCTTTTTGTTAATTGGTAATTATCATTGAAATATGGATGATTTCATTGAATAATATATTCAAAACCAAGTAATTTTTCAATGATAAAAACATAGACAATAAATGGTATTATCATTTTATTGATATGATTTTACAATATACTTTCAGTTAAAGATTAAATTGCCTACTGTAATAATTTTTAAAAATTTTTCATTTTTTATTAGATATGCAAAGAATTTGATTTGATTTGATAATGAAAAATAATGATTAGTTATGATTGTAAATGAAGTCATTAATAAAAATTTCGGTAATGCTATTATCATTAATATATACGGTTTTAATCGAATAACTTAAAATAGAATTGTTTGATATTTTGATATTTTCATCGCTTTTTTTTTTTCTTTCCTTTCCTTAATACTTACTAAATGTAATTGAATAAAGGAAAAAAAGAATTTATTAATTAATTTCTTTTTAATTACTCATCATTATTGCTTCTAATATTTTTTTTTCATATTTCAAATATTATCGTTGTAATTTATTTTCTAATTTTCTTTTATTCATTAAAATATTCAAATTATTATTAATTTTTTTTTATTTTTTCAGAGGAGTAATGATATGGATATTATTACTGGTACAATTAGCTGCAGCACATATCAGATTAACATATCCACCAAATCGTTATCCATTACTCAATTATTCCACTGATAATGGAAAAACTCAACAATTATGTGGTATACCAAAAGATCCAAAAGGTTAATTAATTAATCAATTTTATCATTTTTTTTTAAATTTTATTTCTTTGCGTAAAAATAAGTTAAATTTAATAATTCATTTTATTTTAGCACTTAATAAATTTTAATATTATGGTATTTTCGTGGAAAGTCTCAAATTTTAAATCTTCTTTTTTTTTTTCCCTGTGACAAAAACGAGTAATATCATTCGTTAAATAATAAAGAGAAATGAAGATGGGTTAAGTGGGATTGAAATAATTCTAAAATTTTTTTTTTTTTTTTAAATGAGGTACTTAAAAGAATGTTCTTGACATTACTACAAATTACTTTCTTACTTCCATCATAATAATTTTTTAAAATTGATTTAAAAAAAAAAGAAAGAAATGAATAAGACAATGAAAAATGAAATCATCTATGCAATGAGTGAAATGCTTTTTTCTTCCATTTTTTTGTAAATTAAGAAAGGTTTTTTTTTTTAAAAATGCGTTTTGAGTTTTTGTAAGTGTTTTTTTTTTTTCTTAAAAAATCTTCACCTGGTCGTAAAACAATTATATACCTTATCATACCTTTCTTAATTTTGCATTGTCATTTTATTGTTGTCTTATGGATTGTAACTTTTCTAATGCATTGTAGTGTGAAAAAAATTAATGTTAATTAAAATTTACATTAATTAAGAAATTACCAATTGTATACTACTGGTTGAGAATGCGAGAATTGATGTTAAAATCTGGTAGCAGTTAATAATTTGAAAATGGTTGCAATTTCAAAAGTGAAGTTAATTGAAGTAATTAAGTGGAAACATTTTGGCAGCATATTTTGGAAATTGAAATGTAAACGGATTGAAAGTTTTTGAAGTTTTGAAAATTTGTGACTTTGCAATTTTCAATTTTTAACAAATAAATTTTTTTTTTCAAAGTAATTTTATTACTAGTTTTGTCATAATGACTTCTTTACTTTTTCTTTTTTAATTTGTCAACTTCTTTACTAACTTACAAAAATGGTTGTGATTAAGTTAAATCTGCATTTATGCACTTTTTTTCATTTCTGAAAAAAAAAAAAAATGAAATTTGCAATGGAATATATCAACGAATTAAATTAAAAGTCAAATATTTTTCTGATTCATTTCATTGATAATAAAATTATTCCACAGAAAATATGATCATGAGAAAATTTAAACATATCAAAAAAAAAAAAACTTCTTCCTATCACTTTTTGATTCTTCTTTTCTGAAATTGAATATTTTCAAAATTTCTTCACAAAAAAATTTTTAATTTTTTGTCTTTTTTTTATTAAAGTCAAGTTTTTTTTCTATAATTTCAGTTAAAAAAAAACACTTTGAAAGTTTAAAATTGCAAAATTTCAATAAAATAAAAGCAAAGTTTTCTTTTTTTTTGCACTAATATATATAAAAAATATTAATTTTATACATTTTAAGCATTTTTATTAGAAATTCATGCATAAAAATGACCTTCAATTGAATGAAACAAAATCCAAGGGCATACATAACGTATGTAGCAATATATGTCATAGGTGAAAAGTTCAAGAGATAAGAGGAAGAGAGTTGAAGAAGTTCGATCATTCCAATTGAAAATCATAAAAATTGTCGCATGTCATATCGTCTTATCATCGTCATCAATAATAACAACAACAATAACAACAATACTGTTATATTAGTATAACGGGACTAATAATTTTCAATAAGAAATGCATTCTACTTTTCTACCACATATATAATCAATGAAAGGAGAAGAAAAAAAAAAAATTAATAAATTTTTTTAAAGCAATAATTTTTACTACAATGTTATCAAATTAATAATACAACAATAATTATTTTACAAATTATTTGAGAATAAATTAATAAAAATCTTGAAAATATAATATTATTATTATAAGTAACTTACTTCTACAGTAATTACAAACTTATAGCAAAAAAAAACTAATCCGAAATATAATAATATTATTATATATTATTAAAACTAATTTACTTTTACACAATTTGATGACAATGATGACGATGCTTCTCATTACTTTGGAAATTAATTAATTAGGACAATTATGGTAACTAAGAAAATATTATATTATTAAAACTAATTTACTTTCACACAATATGATGACATTGATGGCAATGCTTCTCATTACTGATGGAAATGGAAATTAATTAATTAGGAAAATTATAGTAACTAAAAAAATTAATAATTTCATAAGCAAGAAAGAATTAACATTTACTAAAATTATTTAGTATAATAACAACAATAATATGTTTACTTCTCATTTGAAAATTATGATATTGCGTACTGTGCATTTACCGTATACCGTTATCCTAAAAATTCACTACAGTATTAGTATTGAAATTATTTTCTCTTTTTTTCATCCATTTTTTTTATTTTCTCTTTTTTTATGCATTTTTTGATTGATCCATCCATATTTTTTCCAATATTTGAAGTCATTAATATTACTGTCATTGTTTAAATTATTAATCTTACGACACTTCAATTCATACTGTATTTCTTCATTCCGTTTTAGGTATCGTAACATGGTTACGTTCCGGTGAAGATGTTAATATCACTTGGTTCCAATCAGAATCTTATAATGTACGGTTTGTTTCGCTTATTCATTCAATGTTGTCGTTTTTAATTTTTTTTTTTTTTTTTTAAATAAAATTTGATATGAATGGAAAAAAAATTCAAATGCTAAAAAATTATTTTCCTCTTTTTTTTCTCCTTGTAAAATGGACAATTTAAATGAGTCAGTTAAAAGGAATTAATTCAAACTGTCATCATTGTTTGTTTCAAATTGTTAATCATAATTAAAATTTAAGGGAAATTTAAAATTGGAATTATTGAATGAAATGGATCAAATGATTGCAATTTTGTCACCAATTACAAGTGTTAATACCGATGATGGAACATTGTGATATTTTTTTTAAATTTATTTCTTTTTTTTTACATTTTAATAAAAAATTTCATAACATAAGAAATGTGTTTTTGTTTTTTTTCCTTTTTAATTAATAAGTAAAAAATCTATTTAACAATTAAACAAATTCATATTCAATTTTTCATTTTAACAATTTTATTTCTGATATTATTATTTTTCGATTTTTAAATCAATAAGTAAAAAATTTATTGAGCAAATATGCAAATTCATATTCACTTTTGTCGTTTTAACAATTACATTTTGGATATTGTTATTTTTCGATTAAAATTTTATAAAAAATACTCCACTATTGTAGTGTTTAACTTTAATAAAGAAAATTGAATTTCAATAACATTTTCCAAAAAAAAAAAAAAAAAAGGAAAAACGTTTAGTTT